TTGGGCATTTCGCGAAATGACTAGGTATTTCGCGAAATACCTAGGCAATTTGAGAAATGCCTAAAATTTCTAGGTAAAACTCGAATTTCCTGGCCACTTTTAGGTATTTCCCGATTTGCCTAGGCATTTCGCAAAATGCCTGGACTTCGGGTTTTACCGGTAACATATATATATACATGTTATGGGCAAAGACCGGAATTGGACATTCTCCGATAATGACCGGTCAATGTCGACAATGCCCAAAATCGTTGGTCATTATCAACAATGTCCTGTAAATTTTACCAATGTTCAAAAATCTTTAACAATGCCCAGGAATTGTTGACATTGCCCAGTCATGTTTGGGCAAAGTTGTTTATCATCTTATTCATTAACAAAAAGAGAAGATAATTAATATACTCTCTTAATTTGAATCAAATAAAAATCGTGGTTTTAACTGACAATCAGTGACTGACTTTTTACTTCTGAATCAGTTAAAAATAACTGATTTTCAGTGAAAAAATAATTAATTTTCAGTAAAAAATATAACTGAAAAAGTAGTTAAACTTGACTAATTGAATCAGTCAAAAAAATGTACTGAAACTTCAGTTATTTTTAACTGACAATCAGTTATTTTTAACTAATTGTCAGTAGAAATATTACTATTTGAATTAGTGACTGACTTTTTGCTTCTAAATTAGTTATTTTTAACTGATTCAAATTTAGAGAGTAAGAAGATAGGTATTATTTATTTATTGTGACATGACTGATATTCACTAGAACCTTTTTTGGCTTTGATTTAAACAAGTTTACTTTTTCAATATTAACTTTGTTTATATCATCAACAGCATATTCTATGTCTACTGTTTTTAAAAATTATTTCCAATTAATTACAGAATTAATCATTTCTAAAAATAATTGTAACGTATTTTTGAATCATTTTTAAATTGTAAAAGTGAAGAATGTGAAGCATTGCGATATGCAACACGAATGCATTTAAAATCAGTTTATTTTTGTTTTTTAATTCAGTTCACGAAAAAAAAATTGGCTGTCAGTTATATGAATAAACCGTTGTCAATTGATGCTATCAAAAAGATTTAATAAAGTTTTTATTAGTTTGAAATCCAGTCTCAATTATCAATTCTTTACAATAATAAAATAATTAATTCAATTTTTATCAACTTTGCCCAATTTGTACCGGTCATTGTCAGTTTTTTGAACATTGGTAAAATTTACAGGACAATGTCGACAATGACTAGCGGTTTACAGAACAATGTCAACAATGACCAACGATTTTGGGCATTGTCGACATTGACCGTCATTAACGGAGAATGTCCAATTCCGGTCTTTGCCCGTAACATATATGTATATATATATTTTTGTATTATAAGAATTTTATTAATACTTTATTTTATTTATTTAACTTGGGATTTTTTATTTTTCACTGAAATATTAAAACTTATTTGATTTTAAAATTTTATGTTTATAGATTTTTGTATTTTATAGAACTCAAATATATATTTTACATTTTAAGAATGTAAAATTTTATTTATTTACATTTTAGGAAAAGAGAAAAATTTTAAATTTTTAGAAATGAAAGTCCGAAATTTGTATATAAAATTTTTGTTGATTGGTATGTAGAGGAGAACGGGGCGAGGCAGCCAAGATGGCACATTTTGGTTTGCGAGGCAGTTATTTAAATAGGTTTTTTCAATTTTAATATCGCGTTAGAAAGCTTGTCTTACTGGCTAAAAAATCGCCATAGAACATTTTGACGTAGGTTGTACTTAAAAATTTCTACAACCCTTTTCCCAAAGGACCACATTTTGGCATATTTGAAAAAACGTGGGGTGAGGCGGCCAACTATTTTAATAGTTAAAAAAACATAACAAAGTAGTTGTTTTTAACTTACTTTTATTTTGTTAGTAAACTTCAAAAATTTACATTTGAATAATATTATAATAATAACATTAATTAAATTCAATTTAACATTTTAAGGAAATATAAATTTGTTATTCTTAAAAAATGGTTTATAAAATTCAATGTTAAGTTTAAAATGTATTGGAGTAGGAAAAAAAGAGAAAACATTTAGAAGAACCAATAAAATCAACACAAAAATACGAAAAATTTAGTGTTGGCTGCCTAACCCCACGAGTCCTTTTTTAGGAAAACATTCACAAAACTCGTAATATTAAAAATATCGCAATTTCATTAACACCATCGTCTTCAGCGCTAAATTCTGCATTAAAAATCACTTTACAAGAATTTTATTCGTGTAACTCTATTAACTAAAATCACCAAAATAACTCTTAGAAAAGTTACATCCAAAAAGTCTGTTTTCATAAATGATACTGTCATTGCTAAACTGCTGCAGCAATAATGCCCATCTATTAATTATCAACTAAAGTTAACTACCATAATCAGTCTAAATTATCAATACCGCACGATTTGAAAAAATTATGCAGAAATAAGAAGCAATTGGCTGCCTCACCCCGTTGGCTACCTCGCCTCGTTCTTCTCTATATTTTTATACAATTTTTAATTTAATTAAAACTAATATATTTTTTATAGAAATTTTATTTATATATTAATAGAGGAGACCGAGGAGGAAAGTAACAAAAATCAGTATTCTGCAGCTTAGATTGAAAGCTTAGACCTTCATCTATTAAATAAAATTTGAATAAGAAATTGAAATTAAATAGTCTGTTTGCAGTAAATCCTTTACGCGACCTCTGCAGTTGTTACTTTCCTCCTCACCTACTAGGAGGAAAGTGTAACATAAATCAAATATTTTAAATTAAAGACATAAAAATAACTTATTCTAAAGTATGTATTTGATCAAAATTAACAATTATTATGACATACGTAATGACTTTCACCAGCTATATAAACTTCGTGTGCCCAGAAAGAAAGACAGTGTTACTTTCTTCTTCACCCTGTTTTTCTTTGCATCTCAATAAATAAGTTTAAAATATACAACAGTGTTAAAGACTATTTAATTATACGCTGATACAATTGAAAGATAAATAATTAAGCTACAAAAAAATGAAATAACGTTTTATAAAACTATATATCGAACTGAATAGGAAGTTTCAAAAAATTTGAAGAAAACTACCATGAAAGTTCTAAAAGTTATAAGCATTGTTACTTTCCTCTTCGGTCTTCCCTATAATTAACATTTATAATTATATACATATTAATAATATTAGTGGAAAATTAATTTTCTATTTAAATATTGACATAATATATTCTTAAATTTATTTTACATAACCATAAAATTATTAGAGAAAAATTTAACAAAATAATAAAAAAATTTTCTAGATTTTGAATTACAAGGAAAGTATTCTCAAAGTCTTTAACATATCACAAATTCTTAATTAATGATACTATAGTTTTGAACGTTTAATAAAACAAAAATTTTTCTTTATTATAAAATATTTGAAAATTTTTAAATTACGTTTAGAACAATTAAAAAGTAAAAAATAAATTGATAGTTACAATTATGATCATTTTTTACTACCACCTGAAGTAGTGTTTTATATAATAAAATTTGAAATTGAAAATACTTTTTTGTCAAATTTGTTCATTTTTTTACTTTCAAAATTATTGAAACCATTAATTTCAGTACAATTCGCTCTTTCAAATACACATAATGTTAACAAATTACAATATAATTGATTCGAATCACTTACAAACGCACTTTCCAGGGCTCGAACCAGTGAAAGTATTTAAAAATACGGACTTTACGGACCAAAAATGAAAAATTACGGACCATTTACGGACCAATTACTGACAAAAATATATAAGAGAACCAGGGGCATATCCGGAGGGGGGTTTAGGGGTTCAACCCCCCCTCCGAAATTTTGGAAAAACATATATATATATATAACATATATAACATATATAACATATATATATATATGTTAAAGCCTAAATTTCTAATTTTATTCTGAGTACACCTCTCATCAAAGTCCATAACCCCCCCCCCCCCCGAAGCTTTTTTTTGGATACGCCCCTGAAGACAACATTTTACTTAAAAAACTATAAATTAGATTTTTTCATAACTAAAAAACATGAAGATATCGATAACTCCGAGTCTTCGACTCGGAGCGATCGATTACTTCGTGTTTTATAATAATTAAAGATAGAATGATAAGCGTTTGTCTGATAGTCCGTAGGTCGTAGGTTCTATACCCGCGTGCGTCAGATTTTTTTTTTTTGGTCACGATTTAATTAAAAAAAGTTAAAATCGTTAAGTAACAATATTATTTATTAATAATTGAACTTGTTTATTATTAATAAATAATGAATTTATTAACTTAATTTTGAAAAATAAAGGCGAGAGTAAGTTGAGGGCAAACGCAAGGGCCACGCAGGGGGCCGACGAGGGCGACCGCGTGGATCGCCCATGCGGGCGCCCTTATCGATCAGCATGTCGTTTCCATTAGGGGCCTCGCCTGGATCACCCACGTGGGCCCCTCCTGGATGTGGACGATCCATGCGGGCCCCCGGCGTGGGCCAACACCACTTTTCCACACGGGCCTGTACAAATTTTATTATTTATGAAAATAATTGAATATTGCGAAGAAATTTATAAAAAAATTTGTAAATAATGAAATTCCTGTAAACTTTTTATTATTTTTTTTGAAAATAATTAAAGGTTTGTGTAGAATTTTAGGAGATTTTTTTTAAATAATTGAATTCTTTTGGAAAATTTTATTATAATAGTATAGATACCTATTAAAAATCATTGAATTGAGGGAAAATTTTGAAAATAATTGAAATTTTTCCAAGAATTTTATTAAAGTTTTTGAAAATCATTGATATTTCGGAGAAGAATTTAATTATTCCTAAAGACAATTGAAATTTTGACGAGAATTTTTAAAAATTTTTGAACATAATTGAATTTTTGCAAAGAATTTTATTACTTTTGAAAATAATTGAATTCCTTCAATCATTTGTAATTTCTCTAAAATTATCCAAATTATATCGTATAATTTACGTACTTTACGGACCTTTTTCAATCGAATTACGGACTTTACGGACCTTTTTTCGAAAAAACGGACTTTTACGGACTTCAAGCAAAGTTACGGACTTTTACGGGATTTACGGACCTAGTTCGAGCCCTGACTTTCTAATCTCTAGATTAGAAAATAAGACATACAAAATTAATTAGAATTTCATGGAAATTCTTTGAATAAATATATACACTAGATTTAATCGCAAGACATATTAAGAAAAAAAAATTTAAATAATATAAAAAATTCTTTTCGGTAATGAATAAAACAAATTTCAAATAGCCGATGGCTTGTGAGACTTTTTTTTCTCGAGAATGTGTTGAATTTCCTCGAGATTTCGACCCTTTGTTTCGGGCATTACAAAGAATAATGTCACCGAACCAATGAAGCAACAAATTGCATAAATCCAAAAACTGGTGTAAATACCCTCAGCTTTATTGAGCACCTCAAAACCAAAAGTAACGATAAAGAGTAAAAATTCCGTTATTATTGTGACACACGCTGTCGCTGGTCCTTTAACATCAGTTGGAAAAAGTTCACCAAGCAATACAAATGGCATTGGACTCACTCCAAATGCGCAAAACACTTCGAAGCATGTCAAACCCATTAGTGGTAACCAACTTATTGAGGGCAAATAATCAACCCTTAAATATTGTAAATAATAAAATGCACCAACAATAGCCAATGATATTGACGCAAATATTCCCGAAAATATCACTAAAATTCTCCTACCGACCGAATCAATTAATTGTGATGCAAATAGTCCGGAAACTATTTTCACAACAACCATAATAATTGTCGCGTACTTTGGATCAATTGATGATTTATTGTAGCAAAAAATAGTCTGAGTATAGGTTAAAATTGCAAAATAACCAGAAAACACTTTAGTAATATCGGCACAAAGTGCAATCAGCAATGCCTTTCTGTGTTTTTTATAACGAAACAATTTCCATAAACTATTCCCCTTTAAATTCTCTTCCTTTGTTGCCAATTTCATTCTTTCAATTTCAACCTTGACCTGATCGGAATCCTTAAAGCCTTGTAGTTTCATTAGGGTTTTTATGGCCATTTTGTCGTCACCTCGCAAAAGATAATAATAGGGTGTTTCCGGCATGAAGAGAAATGTAGCGAGAAAAAAGATTGGCAATGAAAGTAGTAGGCAATTCATTTTGTGATAGGACAGAAAAGCACCTGCCACGGCGACAACTAGGATACCAATGTCGTAGGATATTTTTATAATAAATAGGAGTATTCCTCTTATGTCCTTGTCAGCAATTTCACCGAGATAGATGACCAGTAGTCCAAGAGATGAACAGTAACCAATTCCGCTGATAATACGCGATATGTAGAGGGAAATGTAACTTTTGGCGAAAATGGTTGTCATCCAACCGATTATTTGCGGCAAGGAAAACAGAAGAAGGGAATTTTTACGGCCAATTCGATTCACTAGAAGGGGATAGATAATGTAGCCGAAAATCCCACCGAGACTGAATAATGAAGCGATCCATGAGCCTTGAACAACAGAGACGGGAAATTCGGATTTTTGACTCTTTAGATAAGGCAGAGCTGGTGATGTCCATGTTTCACATGCGCCGAATCCAATTCCCGAGATGCAGGCTGAAAAAAAATATTATTTACTATTAAAAAATTTTACATACAGAATTAGATGTTACGGAAAAGGTAACATTAGAAAATATTTGAAAACGACCATTCGTTTTCAAATATTTTCGAATGATGAAAATAATTTTTCTTTAGTTGAACATTGAGGAATAAAGGACGTTCATCCAAAGAAACACGGATGTTGGGTTGGATGTTGAGACCCAGATGTGTACTTGCCGTCAATTTTTATGACACTGAGTGATTCATGAAAGTTTTAAAAAATGAATTTTCTGTTAAAAATAAAAATATCGAATTATTTTATTATGCCAGGAATGTAATTTTTACAAGAATTAATTAAAATTTCTATAAAGAAAAAAGTTATTTATAAACAAAAAACGATTTTTTTCTAAAATTGAGAATTTGCTGATCGTAAAGAGGATGCAAAATGTTCATGTAATGGACATCTGGATTTACAACTTGTTTTAATTGTTTAAATATTAATTATTTTTTTAGGGGTCTACATATTGGATGAACTACCTGATGGGGAAAATATATAAGTGAGAGACAATTTTTGTTTTGTGACACTAATGGTTTTTTTAGAACAACAATTCAAATAAACAGTTACACTGAAAGAATTTTAGGCAGGCTGCTGGCTTTTCATGTCCGAAATAAGTGCCCCTTGCACAGGGCTCGCAGCTCACCTCAAAAAAGCGAGCATCTACTCCCGAAAGGTGAGCAGCTGCCCCTGAGGAGTTGCTGCTTACCTTTCGGGAGTAGATTCTCGCGTTTTTGAGGTTAACTGCGAGCTTGGGGCAGCGAGCTCTAGCGGCACTCATGTAAAGCCTGCAGCCTGCCCAAAATTCTTTCAGTGTAGCGAACATAAGACTCAGAGAAGCGGCCCTCTACTATCCGGGCGTTTTCCCTTTCTTCAGCACAAACCTATCCTTTCGCAAAGTGGGTGACCGCTTCTTCTATTCTCGGAATCGCTGGCTACTCACTTTATGCAAACTTTTGCCTTATAAGAAGTAGAAATTTTACATTAAAATAAAATAATAATATAATATAGATTAAAAATAATTATTTTTGAATTTTCCCAGATACCGATATCTGAATCTAGACGTCACCAAAAAAACAATAATAATTGAAAAATAAATTTAAAGCTATAAAAAAATGAGGGACTAACTCTGCTGGGGCTCGAAACCCTTTCATAGCTTTAAATTTATTTTTCAAAAATAATTATATTTTTCGGGCGAAAGAATATTGAAACAAATAAAGAAAGATTATTTATTTAGTAGTTAAGTAGTAATTAACAATTACTTAACAATTAACAATTTACAATTTTTTGGTTAAATAAAAGATGTTAAGGTATTATAATAATATGATAATAAATATTGTATCAATAAAAATAATTACAAATAATTTCCTTCTGCACTGCCCGTAAAAACGTTAACTAAATAAAACTAATTATTTTATTACTTTAATACATTTATATTTATTATTAACTATAATATTATTATAATTCACGTATATGCAGGCAGTGTAGTATATATATTATTTGTTTAATTATTATTCTTGATTTGAGAATAACTTTTTTTCGTCACACACTAAGAAAATAATTTGATATCCATAAAATTAATTAATCACTTGATACTAAATTTTTTCTGGTTGTTTACTTATTTTTTAAATGTCTAAATTTTGTTGGAAAAGTACCAGTCAGTCAACTTTATTTCTATATGAAATTACAAAATATAAGATAAAAATGCTTTTTTATGTTAATTTACTATTCAAATATTTATACAACATTCGATAGTGTATATTACAAAAAAAAATTATCTGCATAAAAGAAAAAAATTATTGTTAGCTGAATAATTTTCATCTATTTCAACATTTTTTCATAAACAATAAAGGATAGTGAAAGAAATCTTAAAATTGAGACCCACGTAAAAAGTTTCGGAGAATGAAATCCGACAATTCCTTGGTCTCATTCCCGGGAACTTTTTGACGTGGGGAACATTATTATCTTTTGTACTACTATACATTTTGACTATTTTTGTATTTTTTGGAAGGTTAATACAGGTTAAATATTAGTAAGATTTTTTCACAAATGTATCAATTGTCTTCTCTATAATTGTATAATTCTTATCAATTATTAAGTAAAAAAAATATTAAAAAATTTAGATGATAAATAAAATTTTAACTTATTCAAGTAGAAAAGAATTAATGAACAGTGTTTATTAATAGAAACATTTTTTAATAAACAACTAATTTTTCATTTAATGCATATATTTGAATAGTATTTGAAAATACTTATTAAAATTCATTTTTATTTAGAAATAACTTTTCATAATCCTTTCTCCACTTGTGTTGGAGAAGATTATTCAAACCGTTTGTATAGCTGATAAGAAATGCGCGAAAATGTATGAGATCAGTTTTAAATGAACGAACTATTTATAGAAATTTATAGTAATTTTATCTTTTGTCTAAGAATATGCAATTAATTTAGAAAATTGGTCGTTTTTCTATTTTCTCTTTTACTATTTCCCTTTTTTTTAGAAATTAATTTTAATAGAAATTATTCTAAAATTCTTTTAAATCCTATTTTTAAAAAATAAGTTTCTATTTGACGGATAAAAATTGTTTAGTTTAGTTAATAGTTTTCGTTTTTTGTTTGTCAGTTTCAGTTGTACTTTTTTACGTGTAGAAGAGTGTTCCTTGAAATTTTTTTTTATATAGGTAATTTTATATTTAAATTATAATTATAATTATAATTATTAATAATAAATTAAGATAATATAATACAATAATAATTATAATTATTTAAATTATAAAACTATTTGCAAAAATGTAAGCTAATTTTTTTTCTTTAGCAATATTAGGAAAAACTAATGTTATAGTTAAAAATATCTGATTTAATTTAAAAGAAATGTGTTACAATAATTAGTTGCCAGAAACTAGTTATCAATAAAAGAATTAAAATAAGTTGTCAAAATAATTTTTGCATTATCTTATCAAGAACTGAAAACAAATTATTTATCTTATAATTATTTAATTTTAACTAAATAATTAGTAGAAAAATTCGACTTTTGTAGTTAATATTGATCTATAACAATGACTGTCTTTAAATAATTTACTGTCAAATTACTTATTATTACATTATAGTTATTTTATTTTAACTAATTCAGATTTAAAAAGTGCTGCATATATTTTTTCCTATTTGTAAATTTATTGACAAATACACATAAACATTGTTATTTAACAACAATAGTCTGAACATTTTTTTATATTTTTAGAAGACGCTATAAAAAGTTATCTCATATTTAATTACCACTGATTGCTGCAATAAATTGCAAAGCTTGACTACCATGCTGCTTATTCACATCATAACTATATGCTTTTTCACTTTTTTCTTCATCACTATTTCTAATACACGAAAGTAAATTAAATTTCATTATTCTAACTCTGCTTTTAATTTCCTATTTCAATTTACACTCTGTCTTAAACAAGAAATATTACCAAATATTATTCAACACATTATTTTATAATATTGTTTAAAATACTTTTATAAATATTTATTAATTTATCCATTAATAATTAATAAAATTATTAATTTATTTCGTCGAGAAGAGTTAAATTTTCAACTTGAATTTACTAAAAAAAAAATTTCTGTTCACAATTTATACATTGCTCACGCTACGGAAGTTCTATTCGATATAAGAAGGTTTGGATCAGATGAGTTACACCTGTTACATAAATACGCTATTAAATATATGCACACCTTTTGCTTTGAGCGTCAAGAATTTGATATATTTATCAAACACATTATTTCACTTTATCAAGATTCATATTCAAACATTGCCACCAGGAGTGTAGTTTTTAGTCATAGTGATATTAATCTCTTAATACGTGTATATAGGCATCAATTAAATATAGAGCATTTGTAAAGCTTTCAGCAGACTTACCCAGTAATTTCCTTGAAGAGAGAAAAATCGTTTCTCGTCTACGTTTACGTCATTTTTTAAAATTGAATAATGTTTGAATTGCCGCGTAATAATTTATTCCATTTCATAGTGATTTTACTGTGTATTTTTGCTTTTTTCTTCTTAAAAATTTGTATGATAATTAATGAATTTTTCTACTTCTTGGGTAATTTTATTTTTTCTAACACTAAAAAAGATAAGTATCAACTTACCCAGGTAGAAATTTGTCAAGTATTATTTGTTTCCTTCCAGTAGCTGTAGAGTCGAGAGCGAGTTTTACTTGCCAAAACAATCTGACCAGTCCTGAACAAGTGACTGGCCAGTTTCACTGGATAAAAACAATTACCCTTTGTGAACAGTACTTTTGTCAAGTCACTGACCAGAAAATCTGATCATAATCGTGATAAGAATTTCTTTCCAGACACTGGCCAGTCAGTTAGTTTTAGTTAATTTTTATTGAAATACGAGACAAAATACTGAAAGATTGCCTTTTTTGATTTTCAATTTTTTATATGCATGTTCAAGTTGTGAAATGTAAACAAACCAAAGACTAAAATAGACTAATAGACTAAATAAACTAAAATTAGAGTGTCAATATTTGCAATGAAACTATGATTTTGTTGGGTGAAAAATGCGATTTGTTTTGCAAGTCTCGCAATTCTACAAAAATTCTAAAATTATAATCTTATGTAGTTTATGAAAAAAAAAGTTTTTTAACTTTCAAAAGCCGATCCAGGAGCGGGACTCTGAGTTAGCGCGCAATATAATAGCGCCACTATAATAGCGCTCACTATAGTGAGCACTATTATAGCTGCGCTATGGCATTATTATAGTGAGCGCCATTATAGTGGCGCTATTATAGTGAGCACTATTATAGTGAGCACTATTATAGCGGCGCTATGGCACTATTATTAATTCCCGTGTTTTCAAAAAATTGATGAAATACATACTCTAAATCTGTATCAGTGAAAATTTCAATGAATTCAATTCAGTGGAAGAGTTTTCCACTGAATTGGAATCAGTGAAATTTGTACTTTTTTAGATTTAGAGTGCAGGTTTAAAGAAGACCTCAGGGATGCCACTTCCCCTTAACAAAAAAAACTTAAGTTTTTGGTGAAATATGATTTCTTACCTGTATGAAGGGTAAGAAGTAATTCTGTCCCGGAGACATGGAGGGAATGTTATTTTAACTTCCCATGACGTCATAACGTGGAGGTAAAGTATAATACAACGGTGTTGTTATTATTAGGTACATGTAAATTAGTTACTTACGTTAGTTAGGTTACGTAAGTTACGCAACTTACGTAAATAATGTAACTTGCGCTAGTTACATAAATTACATAAGTAATGACGTAAATGATAATGACGTAAATTACTCTAGTTTCGCAACACACGTTAGTTACGTATCTTGCGTACATTAAATTAATTGCGTAAGTTACTCTAGTTACGTAACTCACGCTATTTACATAACTTATGTTAGTTACGTTACGTTTATAACAAATCTCTGCGTGAATGCGTACAGTTTCCTTTCTGAACATGTACATCTAAACTATATTAACGAGTATAAGTCCGGGGGAGATGGCCATATGGGTCAGATGGCCTTTAAAGACTTTTATTTAAAATTTTTTATGTTAAAGTTAGACACCTAAGAAATATTAAAGAAAAAAACAAATTAAAAAAATTATTATTTATTATTTGTCAAATTACCCGATCCAATATGGCTTACTCAAAATTTTGATTTTCCACAATTTTGAAGTAAAATATGTTTTAAATATTAATTTAGGTACCTATAGATTAAATCTTCCGTGACGGTGTTTCAGAATATTTACCTTAAAAATGTCTAAAATCAAAATTTTGAGTTTGAGATTCACCATATTGGATCAAAAATTTTGAAAAATTAATTTCTGATATCAGATTCTTGATAAACGATCCAAAATGCCCCCGAGTAAGAAAATTTGTTCAATTTCCGCGAACATTTACGTGATGAAACGTTTCATACATTGTGGTGCATTTTTATGACCCACTTGAAATATCCGCCATTTTGAAAATTTTTGCAAATTAAATCTTCGTAAAAATGCTATCTTGTAGTGCAGCTAAAAGTGAAGAGATTTGTGACCTGGAGAATTTTTTGCATAAAAATTAAAAAAATTATGATTTTTTTAAAAAGTGCATTTTTTTCATGTATTTTCAATGGGAAATTTCAATCAATTACCCAGGTAGAAAAATGTTTTAGTAAAACTGGCTTCTTTCCAGTATCTGTCGAGTTGAAATCGAGTTTTACTTAATAAGATAATCTGTCCAGTTCTCAATAAGAGACTGGACAGTTTCACTGGATAGAAAAAATTCTCCTTTATGAACAGTACTTCTGTCAAGTCACTGACCAGAAAATCTGATCATAATCGTGATAAGAATTTCTTTTCAGACACTGGATAGTCACTAATTTAAAAAATTATTTAAGATTCCATTTAGAAAAATTGGTCCACCACTGATCAGAAAAACTTTCCGAATCCTATAAAAAGAATTATTCTAGATTTTTCCAAATCTCTAGCCAGAAAATCTTGATACTATTAAAATAAGAACTTGCGGACCCAGAAGCTGCCTAATTACTAAGGAAAAAATTAACCATCAGTCCAATAAAAATACACTTTTAGTCAATCACTTATAGTGAAATATTAAAAAAATTCTATGTTCCATACGGTCAAAAACAGAAAAGTCTAAAGTAACCGTCTTTTTTAAATATTCATCATTTTTAAATAACATGCATTTCAAAATATGATTCTTTACTAATTAATATAAAAATTTTTGTATATTTGATTTAAAAGTTATAATCATTTCTCTGTCACGTTCCCAAAGTTTCAATTTTTTGCAATTTTAAACACATATTTTATTCGTTATTGATATAGCAGTTTCTTTCGAGTTGATAGCGAGTCTTACTTGACAAGATAAGTTGTCAAGTCACTGACCAGAAATTCTGGTCACGATCGGAATAGCGAATTAAGTTCTTAAACTTATAGTTATAATAAATTACTATTTAGTCACCGTGGCTCCGTGGTAACGCACATGCGTTGTGTCTCCGAGGTCTAGGGTTCGAATCCACATGCATGCGAATTTTTCATTCTTAGTTTTCAATGTTATTGTTAGAGAAATTGTTCATTAGTCCCAGGTAGAAATTTCAACTTTGTAATGACCAGTCACTGGGAAGTTTTTCTAGATTCTGGCGCCTGATTGACCAGAAAATCCAGCAAGTGATTGATTAGAAATGTAACACGCTGCTTTAGCAATCACTGGTTAGATTATCTGTCAAGTAACTGACCAGTAACTGGACAGTTTTCTGCTCAAAATCTAGAATAGAACATAATTTTTCCTGGTTCTTTGTATTTTGTTTATATTTACATACACGGAAAAAAAAGTACGTGAATCCTTCCTTGAAAGTGCTTGACTTTTGGATAGAACACAAAGTACAAGGCTGTATCATATACTTTTTATTAGAAAATATAGAAAAGTCCTAGAGTTATTTTAGTACTAGTATGGGCAACAGTGTTTTTTAAATTTTAACGAAAAGTCATTTGTTCAGTTTTATAAAGTACGTGAAAGATTAGTTGACTGCGCTTGAAAATTCTGTAGAGCATGCGCAGTGTGCGTTGCGCGTTTCTACCCAAGGTAAATGCCAGCTGATCGTCTGTTTCCATTTGTGTTAATTTCAGATGTGAATATACTATTATTTTATGAAAAACAAATAGTGTTAATATATATTTGTCTTCAAGAATTGACTTTCAAAAAAATATTTTTTGTTTTGTGTTTCTCACAAAACAGAATGTTATGTAAGTCTCAGTTTTCAGTGAAATAGCATGTCTCAGAAGTCGTGAAAAATTTCACCATGTGGTATATAAGAACAATTCGATACGTACTTTTAAGTGTTAAGTGTGTGTTTATATTTAAGTTATACGCGAATATATGTGTGTGTTATAGGTTAGTTCATAAGTGTTGACGAACGTCGAAAAGTGATACAATAATTGTTCTTTGTTTGTGTGATTAATTATCCAAATATGTGAATGAATGAGTGAATTTCAGAAAAACGGTGTGAACAAGTGGAAATTATTTTTTTTATTTTACAGTTTTTTTGAAAGTCAATGAAATTCTCAAGCAAGGTACTAGAAATTTTCATTGACTGCTTTTGAAACTCTCATGCAAAAGTACTAGACTGTTTTTAGTATTTTGTGTCGTATCCAAAAGTCAAGTACCGAGTCAATGAAAAATTCACGTACTTTTTTTTTCCGTGTATGTGACGCGACCCCAAGAAAGGTACCTAAGAAGCAAACGAATTATAGGTTGGGTTCGAGTTAGATTTATCTTGATTAAAAGTTCATTTTTAATTATTTAAATTTGAAACCAATATTCATTAAATATTTTGAATATAATAAAGACTTGAAGACCAACAATTTTTAATTATTAATTGATTCTCTTTCTGTATTTTTACTCAAAAAATTTAAAACATAACCTCGAATTTTTTGCTTCTTAGGTACCTTTCTTGGGAACGCGTCACATATTTATTTATATTTTTGTGTTCACTCAGATATTTAAACCTAACGAAAAATTTCTCTACCAATAACACTTAAATCTAAGAATGAAAAATTGGCACGCACAGGGGATCGAACCCTAGACCCTGTGGACACAACGCATCTGCGTTACCATGCAGCGACGGTGACTAGATGGTAACTTATCATAACTAGAAGTTTAAGAACTGCAGTTCTA